TGTGGCACAATGGGTGGACATACAAAGAAGTAAGTTTAAGCTTTAATATAAGGAAAATTTACTAAAAATTTGAGCTGTCCAAATGTGGAATTCCCTGGAAAATTGTGACAATTCCCCTCACTAGAGGTCTCCAGGCTAGTGCAAAATCACCATTTTTCCAGTGTACTCTTGACAAGATTTTTGTTCAGTTATGGGATATACTAAATGGCCTATGAATTCCCTTCCATTCTAACATTCCTTGACTCCCTATGAGCTTCTAGATTCTTATAGGATTCATTGTCTGGTACATTCACTGTACCATTTAATCACATGCTGCCTAGAATTGTCATTTAAGTTTCAATGTGTATGAAGCATGTCAACTTTGACCTTGTAAGTTCTTTGAGGGCAGAGAATTAGGAGCATTTGTGGGCACAGAGAAAAAATGCATGGCATAGTAGAAGAAAGTACTGAAATTGTAGTTAGGAAATCTGAGTTTTATTCTCATTTCTACCACTTTCCAGCTATGTGAACTTCAGGAGATTACTTAACCTTTCAGAGCCTCAATTTTACCACTTGTAAATTGGGAATAAATCATCCTCTGGAATTCTTCATAGGAGTTATAAGGAAAATGTGCATCACACAAAGCACTCTATGAATGTGAGTTATTAATGTGGGTATATAATCTTAGTGAATTAATGAGTGAGGAGGCAGAGAAAAATGAGGAGAAGCCAAAACAGAGAAAGTATTGTCTCTGGAACACTGGAATCATAGTCATTAATAAAATCATTACTTTGGAAGAGGAAACTTTATATAGAAGGAATTTTTCCTTAAAGAGCTTAGCCCTACATTCTGCCTGGACCCATCTCTCCTCTCCCAACCATGTCTTACCATCTGAAGAGGATACCTAACAGCCCTCAGAGAGGTTCCCAGTGCCTTTTCCTGTTTTGTTTAAAAAAAAATTTTTTTTTTGCCTTTTCTTGTTTTGACCCATGTAGATGAAGCTACCCTGCTGACAGTGGCTCAGGGAGAAGAAGGAATTGAGGCTGCACCCAAGTCTATGGAGATAGAATCTTTTGAAAGGCTCTGAGAGAGGAGGCTGAATTCCAGGTGTTCATTCTCTGTTTCCTTTCTGTAGCCAGTGGTGCAGCATCTTTCCTGAACTACAGAAGAAAATGCCAACTGCAGAAGACTGCCCTGCCTCACTTATAGGACCCCATGGTAGAAAGGAGAGGGAAGAGTGAAGGAAGCAAAGGAGAGATGATAAGACAAAGGAGAGACAGATATGGTATCCTAAGTATATACAAAGGTACTTTTTGTGGCTCCCTGTTTCCAAGTGCTGTCCCAGTCCTGAAGATCTGACCATATCACTCTTCTAATCAATAAAATTCCAGTGGCTTCCTATTGCCACTAGGATAAAATAAAAACTTTTTTTTCAGTTTGTAAAACCCTTCACAACTAGGCCCCAACCTATCGAGCACTTACGGCAGTCGATCCAGCCAAACTGGCCTTCTATCTGTTCTTTACACATAATATCCCATTTGCTTGCCTTTGACTGTGCCTCATGCCTGGAATTCATCGCCTTCTCACCTCTGTCTCATAGAATTCCTTTCTTCCTCCAAGACAGCTTAAGCTGTCTTGGTGAGGCATATCTTGAGCCCTCCAGCTACTACAGTTCTCTGTCTCTCCAACTAGCTTGTATTTAATCTCTTCAATATTTATGCTATATACACCTCTATATGTCCCTGTCATCTCTTCTATTAGAGTTCAAGTTCCTTGAGGTCAGGAATTATTTCATTTATTGTATTTGTATCCCTAGCACAATGCCTACATCCATAGTAAGTTTATTGACTGATTTATCACATAAGCAATGTCAATTCTTTTTTCCCCCCTGCGGAAATCATCTAGTTCATTCTACAAGTACGCTGTCCAAGTTGTTGGAGATGATCACAGCACTTCAGAGTTGGAAGGGACCTTAGAAATCTTTTGGTCCAATCCTCTTCTAAGGAGTAAGTTCCATGAAGAATTTCTAGAGCAAGAAGTCCATGACCTTTGTGGCAGTTTCATATCTTCCATGAGTAGGAAATTCTAGCTTATAGCTAAACTACATCCCTACTGTGGAGATTCTCTACTATTGTACCCCGTACAGATATGGACATTCACTAGCTATTTATTGTTTTCATGTAATAAACAAGCATTTATGGCCTTAAATATAGTAAACAAGTCCCAGAATTTTACAACCAAACGTCCCTTATCCAAGATAAATTATTTTTGTCCCTTTTGCTTATTTCTCAAGTTGGCCAATCCATGTCTTTCCATGCCCTGGGGATAAGAAGAACTACAATGTGCTGAAAATAGAGGCTGTTAACAAATCTCCAGTTCAGTTCCAATTTCCTGGGACAGAAGAAGTGTAGGAGACAGAATGTGTACAAGAGTTCAGTTAGAGAGCCAAGCTGAACAAATTTCCCTTGGTCAGACTGTTACCTGACCCTGGTCAGCAGCATTATATTCGGGCAGAGGTGTGAACAATGCCAGGTGACCTCTGTTATGTGGAGCTAGTTAGAGATCTAATTGACTCTCCGGGTTGAATACTTTCTGGTGGTCAGAATGAAAGAGACTATATTAATTAAGCATGCTGGAAGCCTCCATTCCGATGCTGGAAGTTTCCTATATAGATTATCTTTCTGCAGGGTCTTTCCTGAGGCTTCCTCCTGATTCTGAAAATGTGACCTATCTTCTTCAGTAAAGTTCTTATTTTACCTCAACATTGTATTTCTTCTTGTTGTCTTGGTGCACCCATAATTTAAACCAAGGTCCATAAGCAAACACTAATGCACAGGGTCAGTGATCTGCTTCTCAGTGACCACTTGGAACAAGGTCACTATGGTATCTCCTTTTTATCAGGTTTAGAAAATTTGAGGAAAGGGGTGGAGGGCACAAAAAAAGCTAAATAGAAAAAAAAAGTTGAGACTTTATAAGATAATAACAGGGCATTATTCTATGTCCTATGAATTCATTCAACAAACTTTGATTATACACTTCCTATTTGAATAGTGCTGTCCAGGGTGCTGGGAAAATAGAAAATTCAGTTAAGAGGTAGTCCCTGACAACACGAAGCTTAAAATCTAGTTGAAGAATAAGAAAGAAGTACAGATAATTTCAATACATAACATGCCATGATAAGTACCTTAGAGAGATTCACACAATGGCCAATGATGATTCCAGAGCTCTCATGACAAAATATGCTGTCCCAGTCCTCACAGAATCATGATGGACACAAGAGTGCAGATTGAGACATTTTATTTGGACATGGCCATTTTGAGAATTTGTTTTGCTTGCCTATACATGTTTGTAATATGGGTAGTGTTCTTCTTGCTCTCTCAATGGGGGTAGGGAGGGAAGGTAGGAGGAAGAGGGGAGATCTTCATTTGAAAATGAAATTTAATTGTAAAAAAAACCCAGTACATTAAAGAGGGGTAAAATAGAGGGGTAAAACAAAATGCTAGATGATTTTATATATATATATATATATGGAAAGGGTCAGTCTCTGATGGATACAAGAGAAGTATGAGTTGGGGGAAAAACAGGTCCCAGAGTACATGAACCTTGAATACTTTTTTTGGTTGTTATATACAATGGATGACTGTGTGAATAGAAAGACAGCAGTGCTATTAGCAAAAATATGGAAGTCAGGAAGAAGAGCAGGGCTGGAGTTACTTGGGAATAGAAAACATGATGATGAATTCGTTCTAGACGTGATAAGGTTGAGATACCAATTGATTATTATGGTAGAGACAGAAATGTGGGTTTGGAGATGAGAAGAGGTGATGACTGAACTAAGGAGAGAAGATGGATTTATTAAAAATAAGGCAGAGAACAAACAGTACTGCAAATAAGTTGGATTTGGGTGACTGAGTAGAACAATCTAGGACTGATGGATCTCTAATATAGGGGTTTTTAACCTGTAGCCTCAACTTTTTTTTTAACATACTTTGAAAACTGTATTTTAATAATTGTTTTCCTTCATAATCCTACATATTTTGTGCATTTCAAAACATCATTCTGAAGAGACCACTGGCTTCAATCAGAATAACAAAGGAGTCCACGACATAACAAGGTTTAAAAGCCCCTGCTCTAACAACACACATCTTCAGAAGAGGACAAAGATGGATTCTGTAACCTTGCTAGGTATTTATTGTTTGTTTCCATGTAACTCATCATTTGATCAATATTCACAAATGTGCTGTTAATTTTGTTGCATTTAAGTCTTGCTCCTTAATTCCTTTCTGTTTAGGAGAGATATAGAACCAATTTAGGACAGCAGGACTATGCTCTAGAGACTATTGCCCCCAGGAAGGAGTTCCTGAGTCCTTAGGTGGTAGCCATAGAAACAAAAGGCAACAAAAGCAGCAAAAGCTTGTTATTTCATCACATGTGATCCTTGTCCCCAAGAAGCTTACTATATGGAACTGCACAGCAGCAAAGTTGATGAATCCAGATGATAACCGAAATGCACATACCACTTTAAAACTTATAAACTGTTTTATATACATTATCTCAATAGATTCTCTTGAAAACTCTGTGACTGGTATTAAAAATATTATTATACCCATATTATAGATGAAGAAATAGAGGCTCAAGGAGAGTGACTTGCCCATGGTTATAAAATTAACAAATATCCAAGACTGGATTTTAACCTAAGTGTTCTTGATTCAAAATCACTCCAAGTCATCTACAATATAAGAGGTGGGAGTGGGAAGTACCAATGGAAAAAGTGCCAAGAGTTAATAGCTGAGAGACAGTTGGTTCTGCTTAACCTTGACACTGTGACTTTGGCCCCAGCATTACACTAAATATTCTAGTTAAGATGGCTGCTTCTGCTGCCAATGTCAGGAAGTCTCACTTTTTAGATTCTAGGTTACTATATTCCTTTTATCTGCTTATTACTTAGTGGCAGAAATACCAGTCAATGCTTGGCTCTAGTAGGACAAAGATGGGGACGGGGGCAGGGGCTGCACACTCACCTGTGGGGTGTCCTGGTAAGGTGGCGGGGGGACATTCTGCGTGGCCATCATTGTCAGAGCTGGGGCTGGGGAGGCATGTTGCATCATGGGATTGATTCACATCGAGGACCTGTGGGTGGGAGAAATGGGCCACACCATTAACAACACCAAGCACTTGGAGAGCCCCCAGAGCCCAACAAGCCATTTTTCAAGGCTGGCCAGCAGTGGCTGGAGGCCCTTCATGAAGGGAGCAGTAGCTCTGTGTGTGTGTGTGTGTGTGTGTGTGTGTAAGTAGGAGTAGGGGTGGAGGGTGGGGTAAAGGAGGATTGCTATGCAATTTGTACATGAAATAAACAATATTCAAATCATATGCAAAGCAGCTGCACATTAGTAGCAATGCTTTGTTCATCAGCATTTCTGGCCTTGTGGATGGGTGAGGGGACAGACTGTAGCCTGGCTGATGGGAGTATAGAAAAATGGGGGATGGGAGACTCTGGGCAGCACCCCAAGCCCCCAGTGGCACTGATCCCTGCCATGTTCACAGCCCCTCTCCCAACTACTCTCTAAGGGAGGCTAGGGAATGTCCTGGAAGGAAGAACCCACTCGCATAGTTTTTTAGTTATCTCTATCCTGGAATCCCATGGCTCAAATTTCCTTACTCCTTCTGGGTCCCTCAGATATTTAAGTACGTTTGATTAACACTCTGGTGAAGAGGGGCAAAGGGAACGGGTCCCTTCTGCTATTCAATGACCATCTTGGGGTGGGACAGAGAAACTACAAAAATAACAATCGTAAGTCTTCAGTATAATAGAAAGACCGCTGGACCAAGAGCCAGGCAACCTGGGTCCTAATCCCAACTCTACCACTGATGGTCACTACATCTATCTTTTTAACTCCCAGATCCTTTAAGGTAGGCAATACAAGCATTATTATGCTCATTTTACAAATGAAGAGACTGGGGTGAATGCCCAACTTCCAAAGTACATAGGAAGAAAAGGGGAAGGTGTACCTCATCAATGTTGGGAAGGAAATATGGAAAAGAGAGACAGAGACAGACAGATAGAGACCATGCTAGGCACAGCTCTCCAAGTTCATTATTGTTTTGTGTGTATCTCTGAATATATGCATTTAAGAGTGTTTATATATATTTGTATACAAATATATATGTGTACTTTAGCTAGTAATTCAAGTCCATGGTGAGTAAATTGCACCCAAGGAGCCTCTGTAAGTAAAGCCAGCCTTGCAATACCATCCAAAGAAATAGAATGCTAGTCACAGCAGATACCCTGAAATATTTAGAAATGGAAACCACGGGGCTGGCTATATGACCTGACTGTACATGGGATGTGGGGATACCTAACCTCTCAGGGCCTTAGTTTGCTCAGCTGTAAAAACAAATAAATAAATAAAAAATAAGGCGATTCTAGTAGGTGATCTCAAAGATTCTGTCTAGCTTGTGATCTATAATCTATGAACCACAGTATAGAGCAATACTGGCCAATTTACCTACCATTCTTTGGGTCAAGAGATACCTTCTCCATTGATAAAGTACTGTGCTGAAATCTCCCTTCTCCCATAGCAGATGGAAGTCCTGTCCTTACCTTTTTTCATTTGTCCTAGACAAACTGAGATACTTGGGCTATGCCCTCCTTCCCAAGTACTTCCACATAGTTCCCAAACTGTGAAGGAAAAGTGAGGCATGAACTTTTAATGTGGATGTATACCCTTAAACAGAAGGTGCAAGATTCCCCAAAAGGCAATGAGGCGTTTATATATTGGCCTACAGGAAAACATACATATTTTGTACTTTTTCAGGAAGGAAGGGGGAACATTAGTAACCTGAGCTTCTAAATGATTCTGCTGCCTGATACCCTGCAGCATGTACCGAGTCTGGTTTGGGAAATGCATCCCACTACAGTTCCAAGAATGAGAAAGAGTTAAGAAATGGGACTTAATAGAGTTATTACATTGAAGGACTATTGCTTAGGAAATATAACATTGGACAAGTTCGCCTCTGGTCTTAAGCTGTTTCGAGAGGACTAGTGTCCAGAATTTAAAAATTATAGATGTGCCATGTTCTGCACTGATCACACCAAATCCGGAGTTCTAGTTGACACATTTGAGAATCAACATTGATAAGCTGGAGGTCCAGGAGGGCAACAGGGAAAGTGAAGGGCATTGTGATGAAAGGTTCATGCTTATGAGCATTAGTTGAAGGAACTGTGGTTGTTTGGCCTAGAGAAGAAAAGACTTCAGGGGAACACGATAGCTACCACAGGAAAGAGGGATTAGATATACTCAAATTGGCCCCAGAGGGCAGGACTAGAAGGAATTTTCAGGCAATGAAAAAAAACAAAAACAAATTGAGGCTCGATACAAAGAAAACCTGCCTAACAACTACAGCCATTGAAAACTGGAATAAGCCACCTTAGGAAGTGGTGTGTTCTCTCTCCCAGGATACCTAGAAGTAAAGACTGGATGGCTATTTGTAGGGCATATTGTAGAGTGGATTCTTTGTCATATCTGGGTTAGACTAGGGGGCCCTTGACATCACTTTCAACTCTGAAATTCTGTGACTTGGGGGTATCTTTTCTGAAGATTCCGTTTCCTCATCTGTAAAATGAAGAGATTTTACTAGATGATTTCTAAGGTTCCTATGATCCTACTGTGCACGTAGGGCATGAAGAAGTTTATATGTTCTGTTAGCCTCTCCTTCATTCCTACACAATATTCCAGCTCCGCATCTTTGATGGCTCAAAGAATACTCTAGAACTAGAGCAAAGATGTCCAAGAGTCTACCCTCTGTTGGATGGGCTTTGGAAAGGTAGGCACACTTGCTATACTATTATTGATGGAGCTGTGAATTGGACTAATCATTCTGGAAGAAAATTTGGAATTATACCTAAAAGTAAATAAAAAAATTGTTTTAAAAGGTGACCATGCCCAGAGATCCCACTGCTAGGCACATACTCCAAGTAGATAAAAAATGATAAAGAAATTGGGGTACCATATGCAAAATTTTCATAGCACTTTTTTTTTTAAGTATCAAAGCACTAGAAACAAAATAGATGCCCATAAACTTGGGAATAACTAAACAAACCGACGCACATTAATGTGGTGTAATATTACTGTGCTATAAGAAATGATGAATATGAAAAATTCAGAGAAGCACAGAACTGATGAACTGATGCAACATGAATTAAGCAGATCTAGGAAAACAATACACAAAATGACTACAAAAGCACAGATAGAAACATACAAAACTGAATACTGTGTAATAGGCCCCTCCTCCCCCTTTCTGTTGAAAATGGAGGGCTATGGGTGTGGAATATTACATATACTATCAGACTCAGTTGCTGTTTTGAATAGTTTCAATTAACTGCTTTTTTCCCCCTTTCTTTTTTATTCTTTGTTAGAAGAGACTGCTCTCTGCTGATGTATATAGGGGAGAGTAATGTATTTGAAAATAAAGGTGATATAAAACCAAGAGATACCACTACATTGTATTTTTTAATAATTTGTAGAGTGTTAAGGCTTGCAAAGTGCTTTACAGATATTATCTCATTTTACTCTCACAACAGCCTTGAGAGGAAGGCACTATGAATATCCTTATTTTACAGATGAGAGAACTGAGGCAGAGAGTTTAAGTGTCTTGACACGGGTCATAGCTAATAAACATCTTAGGCCAGACTTGAACTCAGATCTCCCTGACTCCAGGTACAGTGTTCCATCCACTGCGCCATGTTTTATGGTGCCTTTTAAAAAGAGTTGGCTCCTTGTCCTTATGATAAATCTATGCACCAGGCATAGTCTCAGGAAAATCAAGGATCAAGAAATAAGAAAGGAAGTGTAGAGGAGATTGTCGATAGTGTTAATTTTAAAATGACGGCCTCCTTTCATTCAGTCCTTTAAGCCCAGAAGGAAGTGCTTCGTTTGTGTCAGTAGTGGTGAGTAGGAGCTCTCCATAAGAACAGAGGGCAAGAGCAGAAAGGAATGGAGTTCCCCAGACACAGGAAGGAATCAAGTTAGACATTGGAAAGAACTTCCTAAGAGTGAGGTTAATTGGGAGACATTGGAAGGGGTATGGAATCTCCCTTCCCTACAAATAACACAAAAAGATAAATAATCTGAAAGAATTATGTAAGACATATTGAAGTAAGAGAGCAAAGGAAAAGTGACCTTTGGTTGAACCAGTGTATGTTTTTGCTATCAAGAGAGCCATTCTTGGGTAGTCACTAAGGAATGAAACTGTAGTATCAGTAGTCACCAGAAGAGGGAGTATGGGCCATAGGCCCTGGGGTTAGAAGTATTTACATTAACAGATTAGTTTTACCCCAGAAAAGAATAGCTAAGACCCCTTTCACCAAATCTCAGGTTTCAGGCTTGGGGTAGGAATTACCTGCCCAATAATTAAGAAAGAATCTAGGTACCCACAGGCTGATTTTATAGAGCAGGGATTCTAACCCAGGGTCCCTGAACTTATTTTTAATATTCTGATAACTGCTTTTCAGTATAATTGGTTTCATTTGTAATCCTACATATTTTATTTTATGCATTTATAAACATTATTTTGAGAAGGCTGTTACAATCTGACACAAAAAAAGATTAAGAAACTCAGGTACAGAGCTTGACAGTAGCAGAGCAAGAAGAAACATACTGCAGTGAGAAGGAATTGAATCACATGCAAAAGTCTATTCTCTGACTTCCAACTTGTTTTTGGTTTTGTTTTAGTGTTTTATTGATACTTTTATTTTTTCACACCACAATCACTTACCAGTAACTCCCAGAAGACTCTCTCTTATGACTACAACAAAATTAAGCAAAGCTGATGGTCACTACCACGTCTGAAAAAGTATACAACATTCTGAGTCTTGAGTCCCTCTCCTTTCTATCAAGAGGAAAGTATGACTTCTAACTGCTTTTCACTCATTCCAGATAATGAAAGATGCCTAGAGGAGTGATTAATATTTTGAAAATTATGATGAGTTGAGGTGTACTGCCTGGAAATGACTGGTGGTTGTAGAAATGGGCTAGATAAACCTCAGAAAACTCTGCCACCCATAATGCCAGTCCATGTCCAGATCAGGGTAGGAGCTTATACTTTTACTTCTAGGTAACAGGCAGAACGTC